GTGTGTGTGCACTTTGGATGGGTTAAAATGCAGAGCACTAATTCCTAGTATGATTCCAGGCTTGATTAGTTACAATGGTTAATCCCTGCTAGTAGATGGCATAAAACACCATTATGTGGGAGTTTTACACTTGACTGGTCAATGAAAAGTAGAATTCAAAATCAATTTCTTTGCAAACAGCATATGATTAATTGCATGGCAAACCGTATTATCATTAAGTGCACAAAAATAAATACATAAAAGATTTAATATATCTAAATAAAATACAATTACAACTTTATTATAGTCATGTACTGAGAAAAAGCCACATTGGAAAAAAAATAGTTGACATTTTCTAAACAAAATGTAGTGGTGTTTTCCTGGGAAAAACTGTTATGGGTTGTTGTAAGGGTACTACAATGAGTTTGCAAATATGTTCTGGCTGTTTTGAACCATACTGGGATTGAAGGTTTGGTTAGGCGTCACCATTCTTGTATCTCACCATTGAGCCAGGTGCTTGAAAACTCTGTCCGTATGGATTCCTCTGAGCTGCGCATCATAACCGGCTCTGAACCCCGAAAGTTCAATGAAGTGGCAGAGTACAATACTCCATCTGCAAGAGAGAAAAAACAAGATGTAGTAAGTAATGATGTTGAAAATTACTGGTACTAAAGTAACACTCTATTATATGTCTTGGTTATACTTTCAAACAGTGTGATTCAATATAACTATCAATACGTTTACAATTATGCATTTTTGGCAGATGCTTTTTAAAGTCACACTGCAAAGTACACAAGTACTTTTATCGTATTATACTCAGCATCATAAATAAAGAGGCAGTACGTACCAACCATCTCTGATGTGTATCGCTGAGAAGGATCAAAGGGACATTTCCCCTTCCCATCTTCTTGTTTACCCTCTAAAGTCAGATTACCATCTGCATAGGACTAAGAGAATGACATGCAACAAACACATAAAGCACTATATACTGGACATTTTATGTTCATAGTCACTAATACTTAATGAGACTCACCATATAGTCACAGGTTGGGATGAATGCTTTGGTTCCACAAACATACATTCGGTCATCGTTTCTTTTATGAAGAATTCTGATATAATTTTTGCAGTCATTCTAAATAAAAAGCAAACAGTGCATCCAAGTTGAAACTAATAAGTGGTGATATGCTGTGAAGTGAAAAAAAAAA